AACTATTTTCAGAATTTTCTAACGACTTAAAAAATATATTTATATATGATGGTTATACTTTTTTTTAATGAAAACACATATGATAGCTATATAATAACATTATATATCTAAATTTAGAACATAACACCTCAATTGAGTAATTTTTTTAACATTTTATTTTTTACAGAGATGAATTCTCTTTTATATCCAAAATTAGTTTCTTACATATTAACATATAATTGAGTAATTTTTTTAACACTTTATTTTTCTAACATTTTCTAACCTTTTACAATTTTTCCAAGTTTTTCTAATCTTTTCTAGTTTTTACAACATCCAACTTTAGAATTTCAACTGAAAAAATATGGCCTAAATCACAATGGAAAACTAGTTTAAATATGGACTGGATATGTTTTATTTTATTAGTTTTTTTGTATAAAGTTAATCAGGACATGGCATAAAAAATTGAAAATAGACCATTAAAAAAATGAGATAGAGTATGGCAATATCCCTTATTCATCTACTTATTCTTGAAATAACTTTCCTAAGTGAAAATGGTACTTCAACCGCCGCAGTGTTCCTCATAGCAGTCGGACTTCCAACGGCTCTTGGTTTGGGTCAATTCAGGCCCAGGGCCTTGAGCCGGCCAAATACTGAAGCTGGTATATCCATGGGCCCCAAAGCGCGCTGGGCCACTCGGGTTGTGCTACCTGGCAAGTAACAGCCCACCAGTATGGTAATTATGGTTTTAGGGGGGGCTGATTTTTATTGAAATTAAAGCAAAAGTGTTAAACCAAGTACTCATTGAAATGGTACACAACAAGGATATTCATTAAAGTTAAAGAAAAAAAGTAAAACCAAGTACTCATTCAAATGATCAGAGGTACATCATAATCAACTAGACCACATAAAATATACACTTGATACACATGTTTTGGGTACATTGCTATGTGAAACACCATTCCTAGACCTAGACCACACAAAAAGGGTGCAATATAATTCTCTTCCTCTGTGACTCATGCGCATGATTAGGCTTTTGATCTCTTCATCATTTTTATTAATATTATCTAAGAGTTCGGGATGAGCTTCTTGGCACGATCACATAGCTCAGGCTGTGCCCATTGCTAGCTCTTACATTTGTGGATACTCTATTCAACAAGAACTCACATTTCCAATATATTTATACAAATTACACGTCATGTTAAAAATAATAAACAAGTGCACTAACCTTCCCATCACATATCTAAATCTTCTTCCTGGAATTTATTAGTCCACGAAGTTAAAATCACCATCCCTTTGCCACACTTACAAGTAGGCACCTCAACCTAACTTCATGATCAAGAATTCTTCTTGAGGTGAAAGAGTAATGACCACCACTACTACTAGAAAAAAAATATAATCATATGTGAATGAATTGATGATCATCTTCAATTTGTGAACCAATTACAAACTTGTTTGAAGCCATTGCTAAAGAAGATAGTTGTTCACTTTAATTCTTGCATCTGACAATTGCATATGAAACCAATTGGGGAAAAGTAAAATCTCATAATTTCACCTCAAACCACAAACATGAAGACTAAGAAGATGGAAAAGCAGATTTCATTACCTACAGAAGATCAAGAAGACAATATATTTACTTATGAAGATGAGGCTAGGAGATCACTGAGAGAGAGAAAACTCTAACCCATATTCTGCGTGTTCGTGAATGCTGAGTCGGAAGAAAACCCGTAAATAATACGTAGTATAAGAAAGCAAGGTTAAAAACGAAATTTCACTAATTTTTAGGACAAAAGTTAATAGAGCTTCTATGCTAAACGACCTTTGGATGAAATGTCCCTCATTGGATAATTCCATAATTTGGGTACACTGAGAGTATATTTTTAAAAATACTAGGACCTGGTAGTTTTTACGACAAAATCTAGGGTACCCAGCAGCAATTTTTTATCTATAGGATGAAAATGTTGGGATCGCATGTGTCCTCACCCCAACTCTGCATTAATATGATATTGTTCATTATGCCCAAGCCCTCACAGATTTAGTCTTAAGTACCTTCCAAAAGACCTCGTACTAATGAGATTGGGTAACCATATAAATATTGATTTTCCTTCTATTGTTCTTCAGGTGTGGGAGGCTAGTTTGCACCTAACAAACCTCCCTTTAAACTAATGGCCACACAACTCGTGACCTCCCCTTCATCGATTTTCCATTTGATTTGCCACCATATCCCACCGCGGCTACATATTTGCGGAACACGCAGCTAGCCCACAAGGCCGCATTTAGGTCATTTTGTCAAACCGGGCACACCGAGAAGTCCGCACAATGCAGTTCACTGCTCTTGTTCGCACGAACTTGGGCTCCAATAGCATATGTTGGGACTGCGCGTGACCTCATCACAACCCCGTATTAGCATGATATTCTTTCCTCTGGCCAAAGCCCTATATGTATTTGGGTACCACGCTGCCCACCAGGCCGCATTTAGGTCATTTTGTCAAACTGGGCACACCGAGAAGTCTGCACAACGCAATTCGTCACTCTTGTTCGCACGAACTTGGGCTGCATATGTTGGGACAGTGCGTGCCCTAATTACAAGAGAAATTTACCTAAATAGGACTAAAACATACTCCCTCCGTCCACAAATAAACTTTACGTTTACTATTCACAGGGTCAAACTTTATTCACTTTGTTGGCCTATTTTCGTCACCCATTTGATAAAATAATATAGTCATGTCACCTCTAGTTTTGTAGATTTTTTGATATAGTTTTTTAATATGTAATTTTTATTTTTCAATTCTACACCGTTTTTCATATAAAATGATTTGAAAATAACTTCAGTCAAACATCGTAATGCGTAATGTAAAGTTTATTTGTGGACGGAGGGAGTAATAACTTTCCCAATATAGGACCATATGTTTTTATTTCCCAATGTAGGACATTTGGTCATTATGAAGTAGTCATTATTCAAGTAAATGTCCATCATTACTGGACATTATTCCTCCCACTAGGTCATTATTAAGTCCTATTTAGAGAATAAAAAAATTTAAGTCCTACATTAGGAAAGTCATTATATTTTAGTCCTATTTAGAGCAAATTTCACTAATTACAATCCCATATTAGTATGGCATTGTTTCCTATGGGCCAAGCCCTTACGGATATATTTTTGGATACCACCCTAAAGGCATCATACTAATGACGTTGGATAAATATTACGGAGTAATTTTTTTGGATCGGTTATTTTGCTTAGTATCGCCCCAAGTCCGGTCCGGTCTGATCCAAATGTAGGTCTTTTTTTTATAATTTTAAATATTCATTGAAAAAACTAAAAATGTTTTTTTAATTCTTTCTTATCGGATTCCGATGTATTTCTAAATTATTCCCATCAATCTTTTCCATGTCAACCTTCTTGGGCTTCAAGAGTGCAAGGCAAAATACACGTGTACAACGTAGCAACAGAGTGGGTTTTGTTCCCAAGTTGTAACTTTTGCGTGGGGTTTTCGTTAAAAGGCCCGACCAGAGTCACTGGTTTCGGTTTCGACCCGGTCGGGCGATTTGGATATTGTTAAAATATAAATAATTGTTCCTGAGCCGCAATCACAAGCTTGAGCTTTTGGTTGAGTTGGTTCCTTGACATGGTATCGGAGCCTCGTTGACTAGAGGTCCCGGGTTCGAAATTCAGCTCTACCCTGTTTAAAAAAATTAAGGTTTCACGTGACGCCTGCACGTGAGAGGGCGTGTTAAAATATAAATAATTGTTCCTGAGCCACAACCACAAGCTTGAACTTTTGGTTGAATTGGTTCCTTGACAGATATACCAGAGTATTGACACTGGAAATGAATTATTTTAGGAATATACGAAGTATAAAAACACAAAATAATTGATGGTCCAAAGCCAGGTAAGCTAAAACGAAAGTGGGCCCTGGCAATAAGAGTTGGAGTTTAAAACACGAATATATAAAGGGATAAAATAGTGATTTCGTCTGGTCGAAGTTGCACAAACCACTCATAATTGTTCCCTTGGCAAACACAAAATGGCAGTTAGCCATTACCCATTCTAAATTCTAATACCCGTAGGTCCACTACTTCATTATAGAGATTTTAAACTTATTCACTTTGTTTGTTTATTTTTACTACTCATTTCATAAAATAATATAGTGTTATCATCTTTAGTTTTGTAGAACTTATCATGTAGTTTATTATTACATAGATTTTATACTGAATTTTTACCTATATATTCAAATAAATTAAATTGAAAATAAAGTCGGTCAAATCTCGTAACGCGCAATGAGAAGATCTTAGGTGGATGGAGGGAGTAATAATTTAGAGACTCACACAGATATCCTTTGTCTGTGTGAACACACAGGCAATGAGTATATTTGTGTGTTTGTGTGAATATGATATACGTTTGTGGTATACCATCTTGGGGTACACTTAGGTCTTTCCTTTTAAAATAGAGAGGGATTACACTTATACCAACATTTTACCATATCAATCGTTACACCAATTCAATTGAAATATCTACAATGTTCGATTTGTACAATTGATAATTTCTATCCCTTACAACCATCCCCTATGCCCACTTCTTTCACGCTCCCTCCTCTAACAGTAGCATGTGACAACAGGGGAGAGATTGTGCGCTTTACAGGTTATTAGTGAGGATATGAATCATCAATTTTACAATTGGAATATTATATATGACGCAATTGGATTGACGTCGCGAAATTACACCATTTGGCGTCGGATTCAAATTAGATTGATGATTAATATTTAGCGGGTCATTTTGAATTTGTTAATGACGTCTTATTTTCTAGGAGGAAAATTGAAAAGGAGCATTATTTAAAGTAAAAAAAAGAAAGTTTAAATTTAAAAATGTGAGGAGAGAGAGAGAAACTTGAAACTTATCCATTTGAGATGTATAAAAGCAGATCAGACCTCTCTCTCAGAGAGAGCAGATAGAGCAGAGCAGCCATTTAAGCGTAGCAGGAAACTGCAGGATTACAGATAGAGCGATCAGAGATAGGATAAGGAGAGATTATTAAATTCAATTTGATTCTGGTGGATGGGAAGAAGAAGAAGAAGAAAAAGAATCAAAAGGAGAATCTAATTATTACAGTAGAGAGCATTTATACTTCTGTACATCGATATATAATCTCAATAATCGCCCCCACAGAATCCATACGATTTCTCTCGCATTTCGATCGGCTATGGCGACGAGGACGAAATACCGCTTCCTGCCGGCGACTGACCGCGACGCGCCGATCAATTCCGACACCATGTTCGAATTCGACGAGTCCGACATCTGGAGCGCCGGCCGCGGCGCCTCTCCGGAGAACCACAGGAAGGCCGGGAACTCCCGAGTCTCGAGGAGGCAGCCGTCCGCCGCCGCTCGGGAGGCGGCGACGGGGTCTCTGCCGGTGAATGTGCCGGACTGGTCGAAGATACTGAAGGACGAGTACAGGGAGAACCGGAGGAGCGAGAGCGATGAGGAGGAGGAGGATGGAGGCAGGGGAGACCGGATTCCGCCGCACGAGTTGGTGGCGCAGCAGATGGCGAGGGCTCGGATCGCCTCCTTCTCGGTGCACGAAGGCGTCGGGCGCACCCTCAAAGGGAGAGACCTGAGTAGAGTCCGCAACGCGATTTGGAAGAGAACCGGGTTCGAGGATTGATGAAGAAGCTAAGGAATTTACCACAAGCTAAGGAATGAAGAAGCTAAGGAATTTTTCAATTTTTCCCACTTTTTTCTTCATAGTTTCCGCTACCACAAATTTATTATATTACGGATTATGATATAAATATATATTATGATATAAATATATTTATATACACTCGGTATTTAAATTCCATATAAATTAAAGTTGTGGATTAAATGCATGCTATCCATAATTCCATACCTTATGTAGTTAAGTGTTAACATTATTTATTTTGTATGAGAGAAATTTGGTCTATCATAGTATCATCTCGTCATTCTTGTCTTTTTAGAATTGTTCTTCCATTCTCTATTTGGTTGAAGGAATCTGAAAGGAAAAGAAAAATAATAGTTTCTCTCATTTTCCTCACCAAAATGGGAGCAATTTAGTTTTTTCTCTCTTTAATACTTGTCAAGAAATCAACTCAGTCAAAAGTTCAAACTTGTGGTTGTAGTTCAAGAATGATTTTATACTCCCTCCGTCCTAAAACTTTCTTCCTAGAGCACTATTCCAATTTCACAGGAATTTATATTTATTTGTGTTTTTTCATGGCCTATATGATAAAATAAAATATTCTTGTCACCACTTGTTTTGTTGAACTTTTGATGTAGTTTTTAAATATGTATGTTTTATTTTTATTTCTATACTAATATTTAAAAAAAATAGATTGAAAAAATTTGGGATTTTTCTTCGTTTTGCGCAACGGGAAGAAAGATATAGACGGGAAGAAAGATATAGGACGGAGAGAGTATACTCTAACACACCCCTTATGTACATGCATGACTTTATTGAACCTTTTACGTGAAATTTTGATTTTTTTTAAAATTAAGTACTGGTAAATTTTGAAGTCGTGACCTCTTGGTCATTAGGACTTTGATACTATGTGAGGAAACGAATTCAACCAAAAGTCCAAGCTTGTGATTGTAGTTCAAGAATGATTTTATATATCCTAACAATAACTTTTACATTCTCATTTATTTTCCCTTCTATCTTTCTTTTCTTTTCCCCTCTAACTAATCAAGAAAAATATTATCTTCTCATTTTCTTTTTTCTTTTCCTCTCAAATTCCTTGAACTAAACATAGTGTTAAGATTCAAATGTGTAATGTGAACGTTTTCATATTTGGGCTAACAAGTAATCTTTTACTTTTTGTAAAAAGGCACACTTTTTTATGTTATCAGTGTGTTGAGATCCATAAAATGAACAAAAACTTTAGAATTGCATAGGAATTTACCATTTTTAATTGAGTATTTTTGCACAAATTGAAAAGCAAAGGAAGAAAAAAGTGGGAATGTTGTGGTGTATTTACTCCATCTCAATTTTACTCTTAAGTTGTCTTTGAGAATATAGTTGAATTGAAAAAAGTTTTAAAAATAAAATACTCCGTGATATATATTCGCAAAGAAATAGAGTATTCTAAAAATCATATAAAAAAATTTACAAATATGACATGATATGCCTTTATCATAGACTATTATTTTAACAAATGATAGATACAAATAGGTTAAAAAAAGAAGAAGATTAATTAACCATTTGAAATTCACGATATTCATTCCAAGCAAAAATGATCTTGATACAATAATAAGGAGTAACCCTTTTGGTCGTCTCCGTCACTTGACTAATTTCCATCTTCCCCGTGACTTTAACTTCAACTAATCAGTTAGTTAATTAGAAACTGTTTTACTTCTATAAGAGCATCTCCAGTGCATAGGGTATAAAGTGGTAGTGTAAAATTAATTTTATACTATCAACAGTGTTATACACACCCAATTTTTAATAACTACTCCAATCATATCTTCTACTCCCTTTGTCCCAAATTATTTGTCACATTTCTATTATCGAGACAAAATATCAAGTTTTTTCAATTCATTTTATTTACATATTAGTAAAGGAATAAAAAATAAAAATTACATATCAAAAAACTACATGAAAAGTTCTTCGAAATAAGAGATGTCAAGAATATTTTATTTTATCAAATAACCAATGAAAACGAAGAAATAAACAAAAGTTCCCGCGATTGTTGAAAAAGTAAATGTGACAAATAATTTGGGACGGAGGGAGTATATAATACACTTTTTAAATTTTTTTATTATTCTAAATTATTTATTCATAATAATTATTTTAATTCATAGTTTAATTATTAGAATGGAGAATGTCACTTACGAATAAAATTACAATATGTAAAAGAAATAGAATTAACTCACAATAAATGAAGAAATGAATTAACAAAAGGACGAATTTGAAGCAACTTGAGAAGAAGAGAAGAAAGAGAAATAAAAAAAGAGAGGAAAAGGATGAGTAATAGTGATCTTGTATAAATAGAAGGTGGGAATGGTATTTTGCACTATAGTGCATTATACCATTAGGTATACACAATGCATTGGAGAAGGAAAATATAAATAGTAAATGGCATAAAGTGTATATTTAAGCATATACACTATGCGTTGTAGTTGCTCTAATGGTAGCGCGTCATTTCGAGCAAAATTTTACTTCAACGAGCGCAAATTCTAAAATACTTCATCTCCTTGACACAGTAACTCTAACAACTTTTGGTCACAAATGATGAAAGAATATATATTTAGTTATAATGTAAATTTAGTGAAATTGGTTTTATTTTAAAATAAAATTTTGAAATATTAAATTTTTATAATATTTAATTATTTAAACTATATTTATTTGAGGTCAAAGAAGCCACAGTTTGATAACGAAAATTAAATTATGACAATCTTTTAGATACAAAGGGAGTAGTATGTTACCCGTGACATTTCATTTCAAAATTCCAAAAGATTGCATCAAAGTTTTTACTCGTCTAAAACAATATGTGACATTATCATGTTAATGGCACGGTTCATGTAACATTCACTCTGAATATAGTATGATTTGAGCCTCTTATAGTGTTTCGTTCGAAAAATTAATAGTTTCTACTTCTATATCTCCTAAATTACAATGCCTCCCAGGGGCGGAGGAGGGGGGGGCATGCCGGGGCAAGTGCCCCCCGGCGAAATTCCGGCGAAATTGGATTATGGTACCCTCGGTGATGAGNCCCCCCCCCCCCCCCCCCCCCCGTCGCAGCGAAGAAATCCAGCCAGCAGAAGGGAAGAGTCCAGCGGAGAAGATGAAGTGAGGCGGAAGAAGAAAAAAAAATACAAGACGAAACGACGTCGTTTTGGTGAATGGGCTTAAAATAATCCGTTTAACCCAGCCCAACAATCCACAGCCCAGTACTGCCAGTAGCCCAAATCTCTTAATGCCCAAAAGATTAAAAAACGGAGGATGAGGATTGAACCAAAAAAACACACAGGATTGGCGATTGCTGAACTCCAGAAGACGGAACTCACGGAAGACCAGACTCCAGATTCCGGGCGAGGGCTGCTGAAGGACCGAAACCAGACGGCTGAAGGCAGATTACATTCTTGAGGTCTTTTTCTCTGCTTCTTCATCTTCTCTCTAGGTATTATATGTAAATTTTAATTTTTGAGATTTGTTTCTTAATATTTGAAGGTTTTGAATTTTGAATATTTATGTTGTTCCGTGGTTGCAGTGTGTTTGTTGATATTTAAATATTTGATGTATGTTAATGTAATTTCAAGTTCTAGAGATTATTAAGATATATGAAATTGTTGTTTTTAGGTTATTGATATATATTTTATTTTGTTACTTTATTATTGAATCAAAAAATTTTGAGACGTGAGATGGATAAATTTGTTATTAGACAAAAGAAGAATTTAGAATTTGTAAGTAATAGAGACAATGAAAAAGAAACTTCTTCTTCTATAGAGAAAGACAGTGTGGTTTCAAATAATGATATTATTGCTGATCCGGGTTTATGAAAACCAATTAATGATTATCCATTGGAAATTAGAGATGTAATAAGGAGAAGATACTTAGCAAAAGGTCCTTCTAAGCCATCGATGGATAAATTTCCACACACTTTGACGGGCAAAATCAAAAGACGATTTCAAAGTTATTGGTTTGATAAGTTTAACTGGTTGGAGTATAGTGTCGGCAAGGATAGAGCATATTGTTTGCATTGTTATTTGCAGCGCTTTCAAAAGTTGGCATCTCAAAAAAAAATTCTACGGCCTCAAACAACTCTTACTCCTTTACACAAATAGAAGGTACGTTTAATTACACTTTGCCAATTATGGTAGTTACTATTATGAATTTTGTTTTTTTATTAAATGAATATTTGCCCCCCCCATGAAGTCCTCCCTGGCTCCGCCACTGATGCCCCCTCATTTCGCTAATTTGCTACAGTGGTCACTTTGACGATTGTAGCAAATCAGAAAAATGGGGGAGGGGGTGCAGAGAAGTGGGGTAGGGGTTAGGACTTTAGGAGGTAACAATAATCAATTTTTGAATAAAACACCGTATGCGACTCTAGTCATGCTATGACATTGCTCTCAATATCACAGAATCCATTGTTTTTGTATAACACCTCTGTTCATTTTGTTTCTACAGTAAAACTCTTTACAATCAAATTAGACAAATTTTAATGATTAATAATACAAAAATGTCATTACAGATACTTAAAAAAAACTATACTACTCGTATTTTATTAAACCATCTCTAATGGTGCGGCAAATCTTCAGTTTTGGTATTGTCCATTACTCCAATGGTGCTTCATATCTCATCCCAAAATTAGTTTTTGTAGCCCTTCTTTCAACTTCAAAAGCAAATATGCGTTCTAGAGTAGAGTACTGCATATTTTTTCTTTTCTTTTAAAATAATTTGTAGCATATAGCCATATAGTAATGTTTTTGTGGCTCTGATTCCCTTTTAATGTCTACTACTCCCTCCGTCCCTAAATATTTGACACATTTGTATTTCCGAAGCAAAATATCAAATTTTTTCAATTCATTTTATTTACATATTGGTATAGAAATAAAAAATAAAATTTACATATAAAAAAACTACATGAAAAGTTCTTCGAAATAAGAGGTGTCAAGAGTATTTTATTTTATCAAATAACCAATGAAAACGTAGAAATAAACAAAAGTTCCCGCGACTGCTGAAAAATCAAATGTTGCAAATAATTTGGGACGGAGGGAGTACTTTTTTTGTTGGGGAAATAAAGAAGATAACCCGGATCGATTTGAGAGTCGTGCAAAACTTTCAAATTGATTATTTTAGTTGTTCAATCCAAAAATCAATCGGATAAAACTCAAATTTGACAAGAACAAGTACTTATTGATATGAATTTCGATCTATGCTTTTCGGTCACTCACCTCTCTTAAACAAAAACATTAGTCTTTTAATGAATCAGAATGACGAGTTTAATGATTTTGCGACGATACCTCTATTATGCTTTCTATGTAAGTATGGTGACTGGTGATTTTTCTCTTAAATATTGAAAAAAGAGTTCAATGTTTGTCTTGATTTTTTTGAACAAAAAATTTTTTTTTGATGTTTTTTCTGAGCTGGGCGACCTGGTGCACAGTTCGACCCGCTAAGATGGGCTGGTATGGGTAAAGAGTTAAGCCCATCAGATTTGTGTCGGGACAGGCCCGCCCATTTAAATAGGCTAATAATTTGTATTAAGTTCGGCCCAAACCCGGCCCGGATCTTTTTTCGCAGAGGTCTAGTAACAATACAATAAGAAAACAATATATAACGAATGTAATTAAATATAATATCCATTTTCCATTACTAATAAAAACATAAATCTAGAATTGTTTGTTCTTAATTTATAGCGTTGCATAGTGACTTTTATGTACAAACTTAATTTTTTTTCCATTATAACTCATGTTGAGCATGACCAAACGAACTGTTTTATATTTGTGCATGAAAGCCAATATGATAAGCTATAAGGAACAAATTCTAGGTTTATCTTTTTAAGAATCTTTTATAATGTGCTTAGAGTTTGCCTATCAAAGTTAGAAAATTTAGTGCACGAAAAATAATTACAAATTAAGCAAATGGGATGGCCATTTGGCGTTGGCACCGATCAAAATGGGATAAATGTGAGAAAAAAAAGATCAACAACGAAACAAAATTAAATGTGAGAATTTTTTTTAAAGCAGACTTGTCCATTAATTAACCTCGATTTATGTCAAAAATATATATATACTCTCTCCGTCCAACAATAAAGTTCTCGTTCACTATTCACAGAGTTAAACTTTATTCATTTTGTTAGCGTATCTTCATTGCCCATTTGTTAAAATAATATAGTCATGTCGGCTCTAGTTTTGTTGATTTTTTCACGTAGTTTTAAATATGTAATTTTTATTTTTTAAGTTCATACAAGTTTATATATAAAATGATTTGAAAATAGTTTGAGTTAAACATCATAACGTGTAACGAGAACATTATTGTTAGAGGGAGGGAGTATAAAGGGAAGGTCCACCTACATATATACATAATGAGTGGATAAGTACCTAAGTATCTTTTTCTTGTGTACTACTGTAGACTTGTTAGTTGTAGTAGATAGATAAACTTGAACTCGTACTGGCATGGGGTTGAAAGAGGATGTTATCAAAGTTATTTTAGGTTAGGTAGTGCAGACGTTTTGAAGTTGATAAAATAATAGGTATGGGAGATAGGGCTCATATCTTTTTTGATAAAATATACTTCCTCCGTTCCCAATTTGACTACAAATTGAGAAATTGGGGTTTAAAAGGAGAAATATTTCACTTTTTAAAATTATTTTATTTACAATTTGGTATGTCGATAAAAAATAAAAAATTACATATTAAAAAACTACATCACTAAAAAACAAGAGGTGACAAGAATATTGTATTTTATTAAATACTTAATGATATCGCGTAAACAAATAAAAGTTATCGAGAGGAGAGAAAAAAATGTAATCAAATTGGGAACGGAGGGAGTAGCTTACCAAGAGTGCAAAAGATGATCAATGGAGAATATTTATACTCTCTCTATTTTAAAATTATTTTTCAATTACTATTCACATAATCAAGTAATATGCATTTTCTTTGCCTATTTTTACTAGTCATTTGATAAAATAGTATAGTTTTGATGGATACCCAAGACTGGGGAGTATCCAGCCCAACAAAAACAATAACAGCCTGACACAAAGCCCATCTAAGCGCAAGAATCGGACGCGCTCGGCCAAAAACGTCTTACTCGGCTGAGCAGGACTTAAAGGATATGAAGCCCTCAAGGTGTCAAGTGCAATCGGACACGCATCTCTACTTAATTAGCTCGAACCCATGCACTCGGACCCACGGGCAGACCCGTGCAAATCTTTACTCGGCTATCTTCCAGCAACGAAATCATGTGCTCGGCCCCTGCTGCCACAGAACCAAGACAGCACCTATATTCACGGGCATGAGATCATGCATGCCATGTCTACTCAACGGGCCCACACAAGGGCATCTTTGATAATATTCGTCTGTACATTATTTATAGTCATACTATTTGTAATTATATCTCTTGTATTATTATTCAAAGATATGATTTCAGTGAGCTCGGCCCACTACGTCCTGTCATAGACAACGGGTAGGAAACACAAGTATATGACAAATGTGTTGTATAAACACCCCTCCCTCTCGGGGAGAGAAGGACATGTTTACTACCAAAAAAATATACTCACTCTGCACTCTTGCGACCGAAAAGGCACTTGATCTTTGTTCACACTTTCCTACGTAGTCTCCTAGGTCCTGAGCCTAGTTAGTTAATACGCGTATTATACTTACGTACGTATAATATGCGTATTATACTTGCGTATACGTACAAATTTATAAAATACGTTAAAATACGCGTATTTTAAGCCTAATCGTATTATACACGTTTTTTTACCGATTCTCTACTTAAACCTTTTCCGATTTCCCAAGGCCCTAAATAGACTAGAGAATCCGCTGCTGTCCAATTCCTCGTCCTCTCTCTCTATGGAGTATCGGCCGCAGGAGTTCCCGCTGCAAGAATTCCGGCTGCAGGAGTTCTGGCAAATCAGCAATCAATTCGTTCAGTCATCCTCTTTCAGTTCCTCGTAGGTGGAGTCAGGACCCCAACACAGCAGCAATCCCGATGGCAGTGCTCTGCCGTAGCCACTAGCGGTAAGTCCCAATTCCCAAATCTAATTTCACAATTGTTATCATTTAATTTGTTTTTTGAATTGAGTATGAAGTTTCAATTCTCAACTCTCAAATCTCAATTGTATAATTTGAAATTGCATTCTCCACTAGCATTTAGATGATTTCATAGTTCGATTCAATTACTCAAGTGATTGCTTCATCCATAATAAGTTGTAGTAGTAATGGAGTACTGCTCAAGGATTGTGTCTATAAGGGGCTAAGGGGTGATGATGAGAGATGACTACTCTTCATTGTCTAAAAAGGCCAAAAACAATAAAAGGGTAGATTAGGATTTTAAGTGCAGGGATTGATGCCCAAAAGCTTTAAAATAGCCTTCAAAGGTAAAAAAACTTAACCCACTATAAAGAGGGAAAAACTACAGATCATTTTCTACCGATTCTTTTATATTGGATTTTTATCATCTTTGCCATTTTGATTATTTCTTATCCTAACTTTATTTGAACACACTCATGATGCAAAATATTGAGGAAAATATGATTAAAGATTCTGATCTAATTGATTTGTGCAAGTTGACAGAATGGCCTGAGTATGGAGAGGTAGAGCCATACTCTCATATTCAAAATGGTAATGAAAACAATGAAGCTCACGAGAATTCAATTGATGATCCTAACATTGACAATGGTATGGAATATGGATGATGCTGGACTTCAGATTTTTGTGAGACTTATATCAATGATGATGATGATGTTTTTGCTGAATTTGGTATTTTAGAATAATTTTGTAGTTAGTGGAAGACTTTATACTTTATGGTATGGATGATGCTGGACTATTTTTCACTTCGAACATTTGCTCGATTAAGACTTTATTTTTTTAGCATGAAAATTGTATGAACGTGCTTAAGTTTTTCAATTTAAAGCAAGATTGTTGTTTTTATTCACTTTATTATTTTCTTTTTGTGAATAAATATGTGCATATTATAAGACGTATTTTATATTTAGGAAACGTTTGATACACGTACGTATGCGTATATGTATTTTGTACGTATGAAACATATAATAAGACGTATTTTATAAATTTTTAATGTATTATACACGTACGTACGTATTTCCGTATTATACTTTTGCCGTATATAACTAACTATGGTCCTGAGTTCTAAAATCCATCAGTTATATTACTTTTAGTATTTATAAAACTTTTGATATAATTTTTAAATATATAAATTTTATTTTTAAATTTTACAACTATAATTGAATAAATTAAATAAAAAATAAAGCTTGTCAGACCTCGTAAACTGAAACGAAGAAGACTTTTTAGAACGGAAATGAGTAATATACACTAGATTACAACTTTGAAGTTAGATCGGCCGATTAAACCATGTAATAGTCACATAAATCAAGCGCCCTACAATACCACGATAACATGGGAGATCACAAAGTTCAACACTAAGCCATCTTTGGATGGGGTGATTTTAGAGAGAAAGAAAATGGGAGAGAAGAAAACACAATTTTCAATAAAATTTCCTTTGTTTGGTTAGGGATAAAAATGGGGGAGGGAAAGAAATCATGAGAGGGAAATAAAAACAACAATCCTGCTCAAGTGGCGAGAAAATGGGCCAATTGAAGAGAAAACTAGTAAATTGATAATTTTGCCCTGCATTTTACTCCCTCTGTCCCGAAATAGATTACAATATTCCCTCACATTTTTGTCCCAAAAAAGATTACAAAGTCAATAATTTTATAGTGATTTGACTCTTTTATCCTCCCCTTTCACTATTTGGAGGGATTTGGGGGGTAACTTGGGGAAAAAAATTTGATTTGACTCTTCTTTAATTTCAACTAAAAGAGAATACTGTAATCTAAAGTGGGACGGAGGGAGTATCTTATATCCTCCATATATCTTTTTTCAATTATAAAAAGATAGGGCAAAAATGTCTTTTTAGCTTTATAACCTTTTTTTTCCTTTTACATTTTCACTTCATTTTCCACTCATCCAAACAACAATAATCTCCTTCCCATTTTCTCTTCATTTTCTTTCCTCTCTATTTTCTTTCCATCCATTTTCTTTCCATTCATTTTCTCCTCTTATCCAAACAATGGCTAATGGAACATTCTAACCAATGTGGTGTTTTACGAATTACTCCGTAGTTGTTAAGGGGTTGTCGCAAACCATTAAAAGACTTTATTATACTATAAACCTTCCCTAGATAAAGATAAGAATAATACAATTTCATAATTTAAACAAGTTCCAATAGATTTTTTTAAAAAAAATTATCAAAAAATCAAAACGTAAACTTTATTGTCCAACAAGAAATTGTTGCGATGTAGCCTAAAAATAATGTGATTCGATGTGTTTCAATGACTAAATCCAATTTAACATCTAAGGGGAACATGTGATCTAATGCGTTATAAATCGACAATCTCATGCATATGCTGGGTAACTTTACAAAGTGAAATTTGCACTAAATAGAACTAAAACATAATGACTTTTCTAATGTAGGACTTAAACTTTTTTATTTCCTAAATAGGACTTAATAATGACCTTGTGGAAGAAATAATGTCCAGTAATGATGGACATTTAGTTGAATAATGACTACTTGATAATGACCAAATGTACTACATTGGGAAATAAAAACATATGGTCCTATATTGGAAAAGTCATTATGTTTTAGTCCTATTTAGGTAAATTGCTCTTTTACAAAACCTCTACGAGTAATATAAATATTTTGAAAAGAAAACCATGTTGGAGGTAGCATTTTTTATTATCTAAAAATAAATTATTTACACCTAAAAAAGTATTTACATCTTTAAAAAAATACAAAGTAATTTTTCCTATTTTTTAGTTTGATTTTTTTACTAATTTTAATTTAATATACTACAATTAATTTTATTATCTATATTTGTCTTATTTCAATCAATTACTAAATCTAGGTGTAAAGTGTTACATAGGGAGTAGTATATTTGACACATTAACTAGTATACCTCAAAACGTTGACAGCGCATTGGCCGAATTATTGACCCGATTTAACCAGTGCAACCAATTAACCCGTAAAAAAATTATCTTTTTTTTTAATTGTGGATGATTATTCTCGTAATCTCGTTTAATCTCATAACGGGTTGGGAGTAGGGACCTAATTGCCCTTGCCCCAAATATCTTTGGAGTTTATAGCGGGTCTTAAAATATCAACGAAGCACCACCACCACACGCATCTTCTAATTACACTCAAATTATTATTCTTACATTGCGTTGCTTAATTATTGATTTAGATTCAACAAATCACAAACAATTGCTGTTAAGTTTGGATAAGCTTAATTGTCTGAATGCATCACATTAAACATCTTTATCAATGTGATTCCCTTTCATTTTCAACAATTATTATTACTATTCAATTATGATGACTGAACCCTGTGTATTTATGCCCTACTCCCTCCGTTTTTAATCGTTCAATTCAATGTATAACTTTTTTAAAAATTAAATGAATATAAATAAACATTGTGATCATATTGAATTGCTCATTAATGTATACGGAGTTAAAAATATTATAATCCCTCCATCCCAAAATGAATTACTCTTTATTATTACGGTTTCTCGATAATGTTTGTTTGTTTGCATGTTTTCATTGATTATTTAATAAAGTAAAATATTTTTATCACATTTTATTTTATGAATTTTTTTGTGTAATTTTAAATACTCCATCCGTCCCTCTAAGATGTTCTCATTTTGACTTTTGGTAGTTTTTAAGGAAAGTTGAAAAAAGGTAAAAGTTTACCATAATACCCTTAATGAAAAATGGGTGAAGTGTATTAAATGAGGTGGGTGAGGTGTAATAAATAAAGTAAGTGGGGGTAATTGTGGTATTTTACTTGTTAAAAAATGAAATGAGAAGATCTATTGTAGACAAAGAAAAAGCGCTATTGGAAAGATCTATGGGGGACAGAGGGAGTATATAACTTATTTTTTATTTTTCACTACCAATTTGTAAACAAATAAGTCATATGATATGCACATTGATCGAAGTTACGTACAAAGTAATAAATAATTACTCTGTGTAATACTAGCTTGATGGCTGAATATTACGAAGTACTTAAAGCACCATAGCTTATGTGCCATCACTAAAAGTCTTTCTCTTCAAATTTTCATGGATCCCAATTCAAATTGAAAATTTTCCAATTTGTTGCAAAATCTAAATTTTTTTTCGTGAGTTTCCAAAAAATGTACGACAAAATTTTCTTCCCTCCAGAATACTCATCTTTTTTGTTCAATATATTAACAAAAAAGTGCTGAAAACAAAAATAAAAACAAAAAACAGATTTGAAAGACACTTTAACATAATACGGAGTACTTATTAAAAGATAGAATGAAATGGTCATTTTATATTGAACCAAATAGCTAAAAACTCAAATTTCAATAAATATGTTGAAAAGAAAAAAGTTAAATAAAAAGTTAAGATTTAAATTTTGAAATAACGAAATGTTTTAAAATAAATAAATGAAATTAAGAAAATTTAACGTGCAATTTTTTAGATCAAACGCTCAAAAATATGTTTTGAAATAAAAAATATGGAGTATGTTTTTTAGCCACATTTCTTTTTTCAACCATCACATGAACTTTTGTTTATTTGTATGTTTTCATTGATTATTTGATTAAAAATAATTATCTTGACACCTCTTATTTTAAATAATTTTTCATGTAGTTTTTAATTACATAAATTTTATTTTTTATTTCTATAACAATATTTAAATAAAAAAAATTGAAAAAACTTGATGATATTTTGCTTGGTTTTTTGAAATGTGGTAAACATTTAGGGACATATATAGGAAGTACAAGATAAAAATTTTGATAAAAGAATATTAGGGTCCACATGTATTAAAGGTAAAGATGAAAACTAGGTGAATGATTAGAGTGCGCGAGTAAAGTTAAGAAGAAAATGATGTGACATTAAAAAGTGATGATGTGAAAGGAAATAAGGGGAACCATTAGTGAAGCTCTAAAAAAGTTAATACTAGTTAATACTAGGTTTAAGTTATGTTGGAGGATTATATTAATTATCTTTAAATTTATTCTCATTAACTAACAAGTTATGCTCACCAAATGAGTTAAAAATCTATTAGAGTGGATGGTATACATGCCTTTCATACCCTTCTTACTTATCATCTCTCTTTCCCATATTAGTGTCACATCAAAATGTACTAATTTCATATACTTTTCTTACTACAAGTGGGGGTTTACATACGCCAGTTCACCTACTACAACCTTCTTTTAAATAATTAACTTATTTAGTAATATACATTAGTTTTATATATATTCGATCTACAAATCAATGTAAATGTTATTTTAAAAATATCAACAAAAATTATTAAAAATAGATGTATAAATATTGTAAATTATTCAGACCATGTTGTAAATATTACTGATATAATTTTTTCAATTTTGAACAATAATTTAAAATATTTAAATTTAAATATTAAAGATGTATAAATAAATATTTTAAAGTGAGATGTGGTACTGACGCTAAGTATAAGGACTTGCATGCCAATGTTTTTGGTATAAGAAAGGATGTGTGGTGTTAACTTATTGGGAAGCGTTCCGTTTAACTTAATTTTTTTTGCTTATTACTTATTCTAATTATAATCAGATCGGATCAGAGTAAATCAGACTAGATCAGATCAGTTAGATCTGAAACAACTTTAATTATGACTGCAATCAAATTAGATCAAACTAAATCAGATCAAACCATATCAGATAAGATCTTCAAAAAATCAGATCAGATCATGCAGCCTTAGCGTGCAATACGATGCTCTTTGATGGGTATAACCCATTGGTACCACCCTGCAGGTTCACAGGCGCCCGGGAGGTACCGAAGCCTGGCTCCACCAGATCGACGTCATCAACCCTGGTAATCCGACCGGATGGATGTCAAGGGGCCAGACATGTGAGGTCGCGACTTCATCCGCAGAAGACTTAAAGACTGACCGGCTTGGAGTTTGACCGGTAGGAAGCCTTGAGATGAACAGTAGCGATTTAGAAGTGTTTCTATTCTTATACAAGTAAATAGGAGTGAAAGTCTCATATTAAGAAGACAAGCAATAAGTGATACATACGGCTTGTAAACGGTTCCAACATTATTAATAACTAACCGGGTTACAGATGTTCTCACAATCTCAACTCTAGTCCTGCTTATTCTGACTTAGTACTCACGCTGGTTTTACACCATCAAAAACATTATAAAAAATAAATTAAAAAAAGAAAATAAAAAATTTTGAAAAAAATAGTAAAAAAAGATTAACATAATAAATAAAAGATGAGGCGTTTCTGCCATTTCTCATAACCATAGGAGTCAGCGAAGCTATTTACCTAACATTTGAAGAATATTTTAGTCTAGAGAGACATTGGCGTAACATTAACAGAATTATGAACGGCAACGACGTACACTTTGAAATCATATAGGGTAATAGTGCACATTTACCAAACTAGAGAGTAACTTGGGTCAATAAACTCTCAATTTCCTCAATCAACCTCCGATATTTTGTGATGCTTTTTATTTATTATTTAAGTTTAGTTTTTAATTTTGTTTGCTTTACCTTTTTTATTATTTAGTTTTGGAATTATCCTGAATACTTTTTTTAAAATGTAAATTGAAATTTATATTTAAAAAATTATTTATTTTATGTTTTCAGTTTAGGTAATTTTGACTTTAATGAAATATTTATTTAATATTGTTGTTTAAATAATTTTGATTTAAATAAATTAAAAAAAAAGTTGGGCGTCATCGGGTTGATGGCGCAAAAACAACCCATACCAGCCTTATCCGGCCTACGTGTTTAAAAGGGATAGCATCCGTTCATTGCTCAATTGCGGAATATAAAACGAGGGTATAGAGCGTCGTTCCCAGGCCAATCAATTTTCGGTGCGTGGTTTCGGGGCTAGGGTTTGCGGGAGAAGAAGACACGGTGCGAAGATGATCGAGGTGGTGCTCAACGATCGTCTCGGGAAGAAGGTGCGGGTGAAGTGCAACGAAGACGACACCATCGGAGACCTGAAGAAGCTGGTGGCTGCGCAGACGGGAACCCGACCCGATAAAATCCGGATCCAGAAGTGGTACAACGTCTACAAGGACCACATCACCCTCCAGGACTACGAGATCCATGACGGCATGGGACTCGAGCTCTATTACAACTAATAAGAACCTCGCCCAATCGATCTTCAATCCGTATGTAATCCCGTCTCTTTCATCCTTTCTGTTTTGAAATAATAATTCTAATTGCGATCCCAATGTCCTGTAATTGGATTGTATAAAGCTCTGTTTTGATGTTCTTGCGGTTGAATTTCATGATTGTTCTGCGATTCTGCTTGGCTTGTTATCCCTAGAAATTTGATCCTTTATTGTGTTGTGTTGTTCTACTGATCTTCTATGCTTGATCAACAGATTTTTTGCCAATTTTCATACAAGTATGTGATTATGATAATTATTAACTTCTCAGATGCTTTGTTCTAAATGAGATTTATTTGCCAACACTTTTTTTGCTTCAAAGCTTATCATACTGTTGAATTTGAATGGTATTATCTGTGTTATGCATGGAAAGATGATAAAATGTGTGTGGTGTCAAGTTGTGGTGGCTGCAAAGTGTATAAGATTCATAGAATTGTCCCCTTGAAACTCTGTAAAATTATGATATGTGCACTACTAATATTGTGAATCTATTTGCCTTCTCCCCTCTTGAATAGGGCTTATTTTACATTGACCATGCTAGGGACCCCCAACCTCTCATCTCACTTTCTCATAAGCATCCACACACACAAACACACACATTACTGAGCTAGGGACACTTTTTCTAGATCAAACTCTTGCAACCAACCTCTTTACAGAGCTTTTGTTAAAAAAAATGATGAACCTCTTCCCTAGTTGCCTCTCAGAATCGGCAAGATCATCCACCCGAAGTAAGGTAAATTTGTAGAGGGCATGCTTAGAATAGTAAGCATAGTTATCTCTTGGTGCATTTGAGTTGTGAGAAATCAAATTCGAATTTAGCTAGTCATGTTTTGGGTAAGCTTGTACTCCATGCAAGCTCTATGAAGGGCATATGATTAGTTTCACGTGATTAAACTCATCCACTAAAGTTACACGTTGAAAAACATTGTTACTCCGTAATAAACTAATGTTATATACTCCGTATGTGCTTTGAAAGAGTGCTTTTAAACGTGTCAATTACGAGTTACGGAGTATATGCAACTGTCTCGTAGTAGGACACATGTAGTTTTTGGAAAAGCCCCAAAAGCACATGATGCACTAAGAAGTTTTTTTTAATATGTACAGTATTTAAGGTTACTAGGCAAGCTATAAAATCTATGTTGACTTTCATATATATACTCCGTAAAGTGTAATGAACCGTGCATGTTGAACATGTTTGAATGCCAGCGTAGCATACTTTCTAGTTTCTATCAATTAATTAATGACACTAAAAAGTTATATTGCAGTAAAGTGCACTATTCCAAGAAATTACCCCGGAGTATAACCTATTCCCTCCATCTTTAAATGTTTATCATATTTTTAAAATCGGGATAAAATATCAAATTTTTTCAATTTATTTTATTTAAATATTGGTATAGAAATAAAAAATAAAGTTTACATATTTAAAAACTAAATGAAAAGTTCTTCAAAATAAGATGTGTATTTTATCAAATAACTAATGAAAATATACAAATAAACAAAAATTTGTGTGACTGTTGGAAAAATAAATGTGGCAAACGTTTTGGAACAGAGGAAGTATATAATAATTACATTCATAATTAAGGGGATGTATTGAATTTAGAATATTTCTTCTTTTCCACTTTATTACATGGTATTGAGTAATTCTTTAATTTTAATTTTTTATAGTTCCATCTTTGACTTCCAGTTAAATGAAAATTATATGGTATACTCCCTATGTCCTAATTTATATTGTTTGTTTCGGTTTACGATATTTAACTGAAGTTTTTTAAAGTCATTCTATATGAAAAATAGTTGAGAGTTAAAAAATAAAAATTACATATTTAAAAAATATAGCAAAAGATCTACAAAGTTAATGGTTACATGACTATATATTTTATCAAATGAATAATGAAATTTAGAAAAAAAGTGAATAATGTTCAATCATATGAATAGTAAACATACAATTTAATCTGGGACGAATGAAGTATTAATTAGATAAAATAATAAACAAATCATCCTAAATAGAACTATAACATAGAAAAAGTATGAAAATAGGTGTTCCATGTTTTTATCCTCTAAATAAGAGTTCGCAATGTGGTAACGTGACACTATACATATGCATTATATATAATGTAAATGATCATGATTGGTAATGTAAATGCATTTTAACTTATATTTTGAGAATAAAAAACATGAAACTCCTATTTTGGTATATACTTTAAAACAATTATATCAACAAAATCTAATGAAATTATTTTTGTATCAATATTTAATACTCTTTGTGTTGCACAAATTCTTTCTTCTTTCTTTTTTCTGAATCCCACAATAACTTTTTTTTTTTCTATTAAAAAATCGTTTTTGCTTACCTTACTAATTCTTATTCAATCCATCACATTATACTTACTTATTAATAATATATCCATCATGATCTAATTTTATATAGCATATCAATAGTAATTTGGGAAAGTCAACACAAAAAACTCTTTCTTAATTCTCATAAAAATCAAAATAAGAACTTTGTGGGTTGGATGAAGTGTTATTGTTATTTAACTAGTGGTCAAAAATTTTCAATTTTGACTATAAAAAGTCAAAAGTGGACAAATACTGACTCCAAATAAGGATTGAGTAATGGTATGTGTACACCAAATTACATAGCAACTTCATGTGCTCCAAAAACTTATGCACCAATTTGTATACCTCTAGCACGTAAAAAGTACAACGTTTTTTGCTCTCACAGACATTCGTCTTGTCTATGCCAATGTAAAGACAAATGAAACGGATGTCTGGGATAAAAAATAGTGTAGGGTGTATAAAGCGGTGTTAAGATTTTCGGGTACACTAAGCGAAGTGCTCCAAAAAAACAAATCCGACAACATTTCAACATATACTATACCAGGGACCAGGTAATCTTAAAGTTTATCAGATAAAATGCACATAATGAACTCTATCCATCTTAGGACTGGACAAATAAGTTACACTTTCATCTTTGCACCACACAAAATATGGACTTCAGTACATATTATTGAGCTGCTACGCAAATATGCCAAGAGCACCTGCTCGGTTCGGTGGTTTTAGTCCGCGTTCGGCAGTTGCAAGACCCGTGACCCACATCCTGCATGTGTTATCAAGTGTTGTAAGAATTAATTAATTAATTAATTACTTTATTAACTAACAAAGATCTGCTTCGGAACTGGGAGAATACTAGTTTATATATGAGATTATCCACTCTTGTAGACTCTTTTTGAATGTTTCACTAGATAACTGAGGCTGCAGATACCAATTCAATTAGAATAATATGCCAATATTTTAGTGATATTGGAATTTACCTCCCCGCAATGCTACCGGGATTCATCACAATCTCCAACCTTTTTGCATTCTTCGTGAACTCACTGCAATCAAAAGATGCAGGCCAACCAACAGATGTTTGTATGTTATTCATTCTAAAGTGAATTTTGCTGAATAATAAATACATTGTTGTCCGAAGTACCTAAATGGTTCGTTTCCCGGTTGTTTGAGAACGCCAATTGCATCTCGGTAGGTCACACAGCTTAGCACCTTGGATCTTTCTATGCCACACATGCCAGCTAGTTTTTTGTATAGTTCTTCATATGACCCCAGAATTGAGAGATCAAGTGTAAGCCTAGCATCTTCAGACTGGATGAAGACTTTGCAGTGACCAGTTGTATCTGGGTTTGATAGATTTTCTGAATGATGTTTCCTGTCATATTGAATCTCACTTCTGAAATTCTTCTTCTGTGTTGACATTTGCTGCTCAGTGAGTATTGGCTGACCAAAGAGCAAGAATCGAGGCGTGAGCTCATCCTCGGTAGAATCATTCCCCATCTTTAGTGAGCAAGAGATACTTTTTTTATCCCCATCCAGTTGGTTGTTGACATTTCCATTAGTGTCAACTCTGAGGAGACTTGGTGTTAATAGTCCTCCATATTGAGCATGCCTGGCTCCCTGCATGCCTGCAGAAATGTTGTCTGATGGACAACAGAAATCACTGCAGGACCCGAGGGGGTTGCTTGAAAATGACGGTATTGGGAATTGGCCGTCCATTAAGAAATCATGTGATAGACACAGTTTTTTTCTTGGTGGTGAGAATGGTGAAAGATGAATCATGGGCATGTTTGAGACCAGTTCAACTAGCCATGGGCTGACATGCTTCACATTTTGCAGCAAATCAGGTTCATCCCATGTCACCTAAATTATGGATTGAGGCAGAAAACCAGAATGTGTAAATAGAGCTAATCAAATTCTAAAACAACCAAACAAATATACTGTGGTCAATTAGAAACCAAAGAGACATTAAGGAGATTCAACCAAGACACATACATATGGCACAACAGTTATGACATTAGCAAATACACACTGAGTAAGGAGTATACACGAGGCTAGAAGTGAATTACCTGAAGAATCCTCCATGGTGAATAAGGCCAGAGGATGGGGTCAGCAACTTGAACAGAAGATATTGTTCCCATGAACCAACTTATCCTAGAAGAATCTTCAGTCTCAAATGCCATCTTGAACCTCAACCCCAAGCCCCATCTGACAGCCATTGAGGAATTCACAGATGACGCCCTAACACAAAATTCTGGCGTGTTTGCGCGTGGATAATAGACAAATTCAAAAGGCTGCCCAGTAGCAGCAAGATATGCAGCCTCAAGAACTGATTGGCAACTCACTCTTCCCCTTTCACTAAAGCTCCGAGTTGTAGAATTCGAGTTTCCATTACTACCATTAATCTTGCTTATGTTCTCATCTGCCCTCGAAAATCCACTATAGCTTCGAGAACCCATACTCCACCGGGACGAAGAGTCAGGAGCGGCAATGCTGCTTCCCCTTTTTGCCCTTCGGATTCCAACACAAAGATCTCCATTGTGTGCTCTGAGGAACACAACCGAATCCCCAGCAACTAGCTTCTTCTGGTTCACAAAAGTACTCCACCCTGTTGTTAACAAATGCCTTCTTGGCGTCCCACGATAGATATGCCTGAACTTCCACGTTTCGCCATGAACATCCTTGGCTATCACTGTCTGGACAGGAGGATCGGCGGCATAATCCAACCTTGGAAACATAGTCTCCGCGCAGTACCTTGGTACTGAAAATCCACCTCCATTGTTGGCATCGGATTGCGTCAATGTCTTAGCAAAGGAAGTTGGTTTATTAGATGCTTCAGACAAACTGCTTCTTCCTTTCACTGCATCATCGAGGTCCGGCTCATTGTTGTTCCCAATTGGAACCAGCCTGATCTTAGCAAAAACTTCATCCGTCTCAAGGTCAGACAAATATTTCACAGCATCAAC